TCTACATTCCCATGAAAGACACAGCATACTTTATCTCTGGTGGAAGGAACAGACGTCAAAGATCTGCTGCTGTCACACACACACAGGCCCTAACATTTCAGTAGCTTAACGGAAGACAATATTATGCTCATTCTTCACAGAGTTGACGCCTGGAGCATTCAAGCTTTCCCCTGCACAATGGTTCAGGGGTGCAACTCCGCCTGGTGGCAGGGCTATTCCTGCAGCACTGAGCTCTCTGGGCGGGTGGCAGGTGTCTGACTTCTCAGCTCCTTGGTCCAGCAAAACAGTCTGCCCACCCACGTCCTCAGAGTCACCCGGCTCAGCCCACATGCAGAGGGGGCTGGCAGACACAGTCCCTGCCTGGCCAGCACCACTTCCATGCTGAGGAAGGAGGGCCCTTAACTGTGTCTTTGAGGAAGGCACAAGGTTTTCTTGGGGAAATTTTCACTGCCCAGCTTTGTAAGACTACTTTTGTGCCAGCGTTTGATGAATGGTTGTTTTCACGGCTGCCGGGAGCTGCTGGGTAAGAATGTCACTGCTGACATTCATTTCCTGGCTGTGTTTGTCCAACAACTCCTGTCTCACAGCTGGAAAACCCATTACTCATGAGTGCTGCCTTCTCAGGTACAAGAATATAAAGATGTATTTATCAGGGCAACAGCAGCAAGCTATTCATCCAGAAATGTTCACTGGCCCAATATTAAGTTAAATTCTAAAAAAACCAGTCAAATATTGAAGAAAATGTAATGGGAAATGCCATCAAGCATTTCTTGAATTTAGTCTCATTTTAAGAATTGAAACATAGGGCCCGGCACAATAGCATAATAGTTAAGGTCCTAACTTGAACGCGCCAGGATCCCATATGGGCGCCAATTCTAATCCCCAAAGCTCCATTTCTCATCCGGCTCCCTGCTTGTGGCCTGGGAAGGCAGTCGAGGATGGTCCAAAGCCTTGGGACCCTGCACTTGTGTGGGAGACCCAGAAGAAGTTTCTGGATCCTGGCATCAGATCGGCGCAGCACCAGCTGTTGCAGCCACTTGGGGAGTGAATCATTGAACAGAAGATCTTCCTCTCTGTCTCTCCTCCTCTCTGCACATCTGCCTTTCCAACAAAATAAAATAAAAATTAAAAAAAAAAAGAGAATTGAAACATAGTTTATGTAACATAACATCTGTGTAACAATTTCTGATTTTTCAGTTGTTCAATTCAGCTGTTTTTAGTTTATTGGCAAGGTCGTGCTACTACTGCTGCTACCAGCTATTTCCAGAATGTTCCATTTTTCCCAAAAGAAACTATGTATCTGTTAGGAGTCATTCTCAAGTCATTCTTTGCCCTGCTCTGGCAGTCACTGGCATACTCTGTCTATCTGGATTTGCCCATTTTGGACATTTCCTATACATGGAAGCAAATACCGTGTGGCCTTATAGACTTGCTTCATTTCACTTAGCTTAATGTTTCAAGGATTTGTCAACGTTTAGCATGTACCAATCCTTCATTCTATTTTGTGGTTAAACAGAGTACCTCTTGCTTGTCCAACATTTTATCATTAAAAAATATTATAGCAAAATACTATAATATAAAGTGTATGATCTTAGCCACTTTTAAAATATACATGTATGTCGGGGCTGCCGTTGAGTTACTGCTTGGGACACGGCATCCCAACCACAGTGCTGGCTGCTTGGCTTCTCATCCAGCTTCTTGCCATTGCACTTGGGATGGTAACCCCAAGTGTTTAGGCCTTGCCACACAGGTGGGAGGCCTGGATGGAGTTCCAAGCTTTTGGCTTTGACCTGGTCAAGCCCTGGCTGTTGTAGCCATTTGGAGATGGAAGATCTTCCTCTTGCCCTCTCTGTCACCTACCTTTCAAATTAACAACAAAAACAGCACATTTAGAGTATTTACAAACATCACCATCATTTGTCTGCAGAACTCTTCTCATTGTACAAAACCGATTTCCCTCTCGCTCCAGTCCCTGGCAGCTACTGTTCAATTTTCTGTCACTGAATCCTAGGTAGCTCGTATATAAGGATATTTCAAAAAACTGATGGGGCAGGCAATATGGCATAGTAGGTTAAGCCTTGGCCTTCAGCGTCAACATCCCATAAGAGCATTTATTCAAGTCTCAGCTCTTTCACTTGTGATTTGGCTCTCTGCTGACACACTTGGGAAAGCAGTACCAGGTGGCTCAAGTCCTCGGGTCCCACACCAATATGAGAGACCCAGAAGACGCTCCAGGTTCTTGGCTTTGGACTAGCTTAGCTCAGACCAACGTGTCCACTTGGGAGTGAATCAACAGGTGGAAGATCACTTTGTCTCTCCTTTCTCTGTAAATCTAAAAGAAAAAAAATTAAACTTTAATAAAATAAAACTTGGGCCTGGTGCATTAGCCTGGTAGTTAAAGTCCTTGCCTTGCATGCACTGGGACCCCATATGGGTGTCAGTTCGTGCCCCAGCTGCTCCACTTCCCTTCTAGCTCTCTGCTGTGGCCTGGGAAAGCAATCGAGGATGACTCAAAGCCTCGGGACCCTGCACCTGCGTGCGAGACCTGGAGGAAGCTCCTGGCTCCTGGCTTTGGATGGGCTCTGCCCTGGCCACAGTGGCCACTTGAGGGAGAAACGCCCATATTCACCATTTCCAAACCTAAACCACTTCAAGCCTCAAGCACAGTCAAACACACGCTAATTGTTATCTTAAGTCATTGAGTTCTGAAGGAATGTTTTACCCAGCAAGACCTCATGAAAACGGCTGGAAGCACAAAAACATGTGACGCACCGTGGAAATGGTGAGTTGGAAAGAGACGCCCCCAAATCACTCCGTTCCCGCCCCAACTGTTTCCTCCAGACGCGTGGGCGCCTCCTGGCGGTAAGAGGCGTACCTGCAGGTCCCTCACCATCCCTCCTTCCATCTCTTCACTGTTCTACATGTTTCTTCAGATTCATTTATTCTTATTTGAAAGGCAGACTTACAGAGAAAAAGAGAAACAAAAAGATCTTCCAACGACTGGCTCACTCCACAAATGTATAGCGGCTGCAACTGAGCTATTACCAAAGACAGGAGCCAGGAGCTCGTCCATGTCTCCCACACCAGTAAACCGTACCAAGGCTTTGGGCCATCCTCTACTGCTCTCCCAGGCCACAAGCAGAGAGCTGGATGGGAAGTGGAGCAGCTGGAACATGAACCGGTGCCCGTATGGGATGCTTGCTGCTGGAGGATTAGCCAGTTGAAGCACTGCACTGGCTTTTAAAAAGATTTATTTATTACTTGAAAGGCAGCGTTATACAGAGAGAGGGAGAGACAGAGTGATCTTTCACCCAATGGTTCACTCCCCAAATGGCTGCAAGAGCTGGAACCAGGCCAGTCCCAAGCCAGGAGCTTCTTCCAGGTCTCCCACATGCCTGCCTCGGCCCAAACATTTAGGTCAGCTGCGCCTTTCCCAGGCACAACAGCAAGGAGCTGGATTGGAATTGGAGCAGCTAGGACCCAAGGTGGTACTCATACAGGATGCCGGTGCTACAGGTGGTTGCTTTGCTCGTTATGCCACAGGTATAGGAGCAGAAGTTACTGAATAATACCTTTCCTTTCTTTTTAAGATTCATTTATTTTGGGCTCAGCACTTTAGCCCAGTGGCTAAAGTCCTCACCTTGCACACACTGGGATCCCTTATGGGCACTGATTTTAATCCCAGTAGCCCCGCTTCCCATCCAGCTCCCTACCTGTGGCCCGGGAAGGCAGTCGAGGATGGCCCAAAGCCTTGGGACCCTGCACCCATTGTGGGAGACCCGGAAGAAGCTCCTGGTTCCTGACTTCGTATTAGCTCAGCTCTGCCCATAGTGGCCGCTTGGGAAATGAATCGTCGGACAGAAGATCTTCCTCTCTCTCTCCTCCTCTCTGTATATCTGACTTTCCAATTAAAAAAAAATATTCACGCCACTTGATGCAGTAGCTCCTGGAGTGTAATGGTAACTGCTGTCAAACAAAGAAGTAAATAAATACCTCAAAAGGATGTGCGTGAAGAAGCAGGGGTGAACACAGACAGGCTTTGCAGGAGGGAGGTGAGCGCTGCGGTTAAGCGAGAAATGGTCCAGGGTTTCGCCTTCAGGATGGGGTGAGAGGCCAGGAGTTTGGATTTCTAGGCCTGCTGCACAGAGCAGGGCCTGCAGAAGTTGCTGAGTGTTGGGGCTGGAGGGGCAGGAGGTCAGCTGCACAGCTGCCTGCGGCTGGGGCAGTCCGGGAAGGGTGCAGGTGGCTGGCTGCTGCTTCCAGGCCTGGGCTGGACTCCTCAGGAGCAGCGTAGGGAGGGTCCCCCCCCCTCACAGCTCCCAGTGTAAGCAGTGCGACTCCTGATGAGTGCAGGAGGCGGGGCGGGGCTGGCTGACAGAGGCCCCTGGGGGAGAGCACCCAGTGAGGAGGCCACTACAGGCACAGTAAGGTGGGTGCTGTTATGACAGCCGGTGTCCGGGTCAGAATCCTCCTAAGTTGGAGTTGATGGAAGGAACTAAACATTTTACTGTGGAGGCTGGGAAACTCTCCACCACTAACTGCTGATACACACACACACACATATATTTGCATTTCTATACATATACATATTTAAAACAGGTTTGTTTATTTGTATCTTCCATCTGCTGGTTCCATGCCAGGCTCATGGCAGGAGCTCCATCAGGGTCTCCCACACGGATATCAGAAACCCAACCGTCTCTGGTCATCGGATGCTGCTTCCCGGGGCGTTAGGAGGCGGCTGGATCCGCAGACGTGTCAGTGTTAGAGGAAAAGAGAGAAAACATGCCGGTTGAGCTGAGCTTCTCTTCGACTGTTCCCTGCAGCGGGGCACCTCCTGGGCCCCACGGGGCTCTGCTCCCGCTCCCAGGGCAGGACCAGAGTTACCGAGGGACAGGGAGGAAAGGGGCGCAGGCGCACTGCTGACGCGGGCGCTCCCCCGGCGCGCCGTGGGCGGGCGCGGTGACGTCACGAGGACGCGTCCCGGAAGCGCGGCGGCCGCGGCGGAGGCGTCACAGGCTCCGGGACCTGCGGCTTTAGAACGGCCCTGGGAGGAGGCGTGGCGTCGGGCTGGGGCGCCCCGGAGGAGACGCTCCGGCGCCCGGCGGGCCTCCTGGTTCCCCGTGGCTGTGCGTGCCCTTCCACCCACCGACCCGGCGGCCGGGAAGGTGAGGCGTCCCCCTCCCGCCGGCGTGGCTCCGCCGCTGGAATTGGCGCCTAGGCCTCGCGGGGGCCTCCGCCTGCTGGCCGGGCGACCTGGGCCCTGGCTTTCCCTGTCTGGGCCTCAGGGGAGCCCCATCAGGCCCCCTGGGTTGCAAAGCTGGTGGGCTGGGCACTTGCTGGTGTTGACCCGCTAAGCACCTTCCTGGGCCGTTTACCTTGGCCCTGGGAACTTGGGGCTCCCCGCCGTCCCTTTGTCATGTTCCTTCCGCCCCACATCGCACCTGCCTACCTGGCATTGGTTTAGGTTGCTGTTTGTCTAGGGGTTCATTCCCCCCCTCCCGCCCAGCCTCCCCGTTTGCTGCTGGGCTTTGGCTTCAGGAAGTGGGGTGTGGGAGTCTGTCCCTTGTCAGAGAGGGAAAGTGGTGCAAGATGGTGATGGGTTTGCAATCTAGGCAAAGATTTTCCAGGGCAGGGTAGTGGTACCCACCCAGCTCCCTGCAGGGTGGGTGGGTAGAGGTGAAAGAAAGTTGAGACGACACACTGACTTGCCTGGGCAACAAGGTGCCCTTGGTCTCTGAGGTTTATCCACTTGATGGGTCCTTGGGTAGAAAAGCATTGAGTGCAGAGTCTGAAGACCAGGATTTTATGTCTGAGGACTTGACGTTGCTGTCCCGTGGGGCTGCAGGTTTGTTGTGGTCACCATGTAAGACGATGCACGTGTGTTGGGAATTGTGCTTACAGGATGCAGGCGTTGGAGCGGGAGGGCAGTGCGCCCGAGGTGGGCCCCAGCGTGGTGCCTGAAGCTTCGCAGGAGTCCCCGCCTGCCCCTACCAAGTCGTCGGCGTTCGATCTTTTCAACTTGGTCCTTTCCTACAAGCGGCTGGAGGTCTACCTGGAGCCCCTGAAGGATGCGGGGGACGGCGTCCGATACTTGCTCAGGTACAGCCGTGGTGGACCTGCCCCAGCCTGCAGGGGCCTCTGCCTTCCTGCTCGGTGAGAACAATGATGACGGTCACTTAGGCAATGACTGGACTGCCCTTCCTGCCCTGGTCTGACCTGGTCTGACCGGTTCTGAGAGGTCTGTCTGGCCCCTGGACCACCCTGGGTCCCAGGCTCAGCACAGCTAAGTCAGGTTCTGGGTTTGATCTGGTCCTTCTTGAAGTTTCTTCATAACTGGATGGGCTCCTACCTCAACCACCCTTAGTTTAGAGCAGCCTTATTTTATTTTTTCTTTTCTCCCATTATTTACATTAAAATTAGGAAATAGGGCCCGGCGCGGTGGCGCAAGTGGTTAAAGGTCCTCGCATTGCACGCCCGGGATCCCATATGGGCGCCGGTTCTAATCCCGGCAGCCCCGCTTCCCTTCCAGCTCCCTGCCTGTGGCCTGGGAAAGCAGTCGAGGACGGCCCAAAGCTTTGGGACCCTGCACCCGCGTGGGAGACCCGGAAGAGGCTCCTGGCTTCGGACCGACATAGCATCGGCCCGTTGCGCTCACTTGGGGAGTGAATCATCGGACGGAAGATCTTCCTCTCTGTCTCTCCTCTCTGTATATCCGCCTTTCCAATGAAAAAATAATAAAAATAAATCTTTAAAAAAAAAAATTAGGAAATAGCTGTGACTAGGCAGGTACCCTTTTTGTTAATCATTTCGGACTGTGAATCTTAAATGTTCTTTTATCCTTTTTGCTTTGCTTTTCATCCTCCATAATGTTTTGTTTTTCTCCTTTCAGTTTGCTTTACTTCTTCTTTTTAAGATTTATTTTTATTGGAAAGTCAGATATACAGAGAGGAAGAAAGGCAGAGAGGAAGATCTTCCACCTGCTGATTCAATCCCCAAGTGACCGCCATGGCTGAGGCTGAGCTGATCCGAAGCCAGGAGCCAGGAGCTTCTTCTGGGTCTCCCACATGGGTGCAGGGTCCCAAAGCTTTGGGCCATCCTCGACTGCTTTCCCAGGCCACAAGCAGGGAGTTGGATGGGAAGTGGAGCTGCCAGGATTAGAACCAGCGCCCATATGGGATCCCAGTGCACTCAAGACAAGTACTTTAGCCACTATGCAATCACGCCGGGCCCCAACTACATTTCTTAAAGAGAATAGACCCTTACAAGTACAAGTTCCCACAATGTTAATTGCTTCTCTTATTAGATATTTTATACATTCTTCCTTGTTGGAGAATGTTCTAGTAGATCATCTAGTTTGCTCACCCCTGGGGATGATCTGTGAGGTGTGGACTCCTTTATTGGTTGCCTGCTCAAGGGAGGCCCACAGTCCGCCCCTTCTTGGTTCAGGGTGTCCCAGGCCGTCGCCCTCTTGGCCTGGAGGTCCTGTCCTGCGCTGAGCTGCCCCGCTGTGTTGATGAAGATTCTCTGTGTCGTAGGTGGCAGATGCCTGTGTGCTCCTTGCTCACCTGCCTGGGCCTCAACGTGCTGTTCCTCACCTTGAACGAGGGTAAGAACTGCTTCCGGGAGCCAGAGGGTTGGTGGCGGTGAGGGAACACAGAGTGGCCGCTCCGCCTGAGGGAGCCACTCGGCTTGCCCTGGAGGGAACTCTTTCGTGTCTGCTGGTGGCCAAGCAGGGCTGCAGATGGTCAGTGCAGGCCGGGGGCCGCTGGTGCTCTATCATGCGCAGTGCTGTGCTGGCGCAGTGAGCAGCCCACGTGTCTGCTCCTGTTGTTAAAGTACTTCCTTCCAGACTGATTGCAGATGCAGATGCAGTGACCTTTTCCATTTTGGTGTCTGCACTGGTACAGGGGTTGTTTGGGTACGTGGCATGGGCTAAAGGTGTGGGAGGTGAGCTGGTGGGGAATGTCTTTGTTCTATCTCTTGATTGACTGAGGCGCCAGAAAGGGCTGCCGGGCAGTCACCAGCACTGAGAGGTGGTGGGAAGCCTTCGAGTTGGAAGTGTGAACTCAGTGTAGACTCAGTGTGGACTCGTGTGCTCCTGTAAGGTGTGGGCGGTGCTGTTTCTTGCAGACCTGTTACATTAGAGGTTGTGAAGAGCCCTTTTCCTGTGGTAACTGCAGTAAAAAGCCAGCCCCCGTTGGGAAATGCACGGAGGTCTGGGACAGGATATTCGGAGGAGCTCTGCCTTTCGCAGGTTGAACTGGTCTTTCCTAGGTGTCCCTTCATTTCCTGTGGGGACATGCTCTCAGTGGCTTGGCAGTAAAGCCAGTTCACCTAAGGTCACGTCCTGGTTCCTGGTCGAACTGAGCCTGATCAGACTTTCCCAGTCTCTGTGTGGCCACCTTCTCTGGAGGTTCGATTTTCTTCTGAGTGTATTTCCAGAGTAAGTCAGTTCATGTGGTGGCATTTCCCCAGTAGTTGCTGTGGCCACTGCTCTGTCAGCTTGATGTCGGGGAGCAAGCGCCGCCCATGAGTTTTCTCTTTGCCTCACTCCACAGTGCTCAGTGGTGTGCCAGATCCAGTGCTTCTGGGCTGCCCTAATGGCTCTGAGGACCAGATGTTAGTCATTGAGGCTCTGAAGGGAGCCGCTTCAGTGACCAAGTGACAGAGTCTCAGCCCTCGAGATCTACAACACCTATAAGGTGTCATTCGTTGTGTGGTGGATGAGGGCTGTAAGGAAAAATGGAGCTGGTTTGGACAGCTGGGACAGGGCTTGAGGAGCCATGTCCTACTGGGGGCCGGGGAAGGCCTCTCGGAGGAGCGGAGAGAGCATGTGGACATTTGGGCAGGCAGGCCGCAGGTCCTCACTCACCTGGGTTACCTGAGGAATGTTCTTGGACCCTCTAGGTGCGTGGTACTCCATGGGTGCCCTCGTGATCTCAGTGCCTGCCCTGCTGGGCTACCTCCAGGAAGTATGCCGAGCCCGGCTACCCGAGTCTGAGCTGATGCGGAGGAAGTATTACAGCGTGAGGCAGGAGGACCTGCAGAGGGTGCGCCTGTCACGCCCCGAGGCCGTGGCCGAGGTGAAGAGCTTGTGAGTATGGCAGGAGGCTCGGGAGTGGAGAGAGCCTGCCACGGCAGTCACAGGGCCGCCCTGCTCAAAGCCCGCATAGGTGCAGGGGCCCAAGTCTCAGACACATTGGCAGGGAGCTGGATCAGAAGTGGGGTGGCTGGAGCTCAAACTGACTACTGCATGGGACGCCAGTGTCACAGGTGAGGCTTAACCGGCTGTGCCTCGACACTGGTCCTACATGGCATCTAAGCTGGAGCAGTACTTCTTCAGTTTTTAGTTCTCATGACGTTGACGTTTTGTCATAGTTCAAGCTTATTTTATTATTTTTTTCTTGAATTTCCCTCAGTTTTGGGTTGTTTGATTCCTTGTGGTTCAGACTATGTGCTTAGGGCAGGAATATGACATGTGAGCTGTGCTGTCAGCCTGTGTAGTCACATGATACCAGCAGGTGCTAACTGCTCGGTCTGGGAGGTTTCAGCACTGCCACTGAGCATTTTACCCTTTACTGTTAGTGGTCAGATCTTTGGTGACTGCAAATATCTTGTTCCCCACCTTCACCCAACATCTGTTGGTCTTGCCTTCATCAGTTTATTGATGGTTGCAAAAGTGATTTTGTCATTATCATTCCATGTACAGTTATTGTCTGTTTATTGTTGAGAAGTCTTTTTTTTTTTTTTGAGATTTATTTATTTTTATTGGAAAGATTTACAGAAAGAATAAGAGACAAAGGTTTTGCATCTAATGTTCACTCCCCAAATGGCTGCAACAGCCAGAGCTGAGCCAATCTGAAGCCAGGAGCCTCCTCTGGGTCTCCCACATGGCTGCAGGGTCCCAAGGCTTTGGGCTGTCCTCTACTGCCTTCTCAGGCCACAAACAGGGAGCTGGGTGGAAAGTGGAGCAGTCAGGATATGAGCTAGTGTCCATTTGTATCCCGGTGCATGCAAGGTGAGGACTTTAGCCACTAGGCTACTGCGCCAGGCCCTGTTATTTATTATGCTATCAGCTGGTCCCACGTGTGTTTAGGGGTTGCTTCTGGGTTTTTTGGATGTGTCCATGTCCTTTCTGAGTATGTCTTCATGGTACAGCAGGACATTCCAACTTATATCTTCCTTGTACAGTCTGGAAGTACCCATTTTTCCAAAGAGCCCTATAGAAACCCATATCTGGGTTCAAGATGAGCTCATTGCTTTTTTTGGGGGGAGTGCAATTGTATTAAAAAATAATAAAAAACTAATTTCAAGTGCATCTACTGTATGTCATAAGGTGGATGCCATTGATCTGTATCCTGCCGCTTATCCTGCAGCTGCTGTGTACGTGTTGGCTAGATAATGCTGATCCTGCAGCCCTGGAAGAGCTAGCAGGAGAACAGAGCAGGAGCCTTAAACTCCCTGTAGCTCCAACAGAGGCCCCAGAAAGGGACTGAAATGTGAGTGTAGTGGCTTGGTCAGGCCCTTCCCTCTGGTGCTCTGCAGAACCATCTGGTATGTGTACAGAGGTTGGCCATCCCTCGCCAGCTGTGCCTGTGAGCCCCTGGGTTCTGCTTGCCCGTAGCATCTGTGTGTTTGGGTGCAGGTGGGGTGGGCCTGTCCACTCACAGACTCCCTGAATCGGCAGCTTGATCCAGCTGGAGGCCCTCCTGAACCGCCTGTGCTGCGCCTGCGAAGCTGCCTACCGTGTGCTTCACTGGGAGAACCCCCTGGTGTCCTCACAGTGAGTAGCTCCTCTCATACATGGGCTGACCTGGAGGAATTTGCACCTTGAGCCCCAAGCCAGGCCAGCTTCCTGTCTGAGGGGAAGAGTGCCTCTTCAGCAGGTGGATGCCTGTCTGCACTTACACGTCCAGGCTGTTAGGCCATGGGTTTTGTTTAGATACTTTTATAGGCATACAAATATTTTAATATTATGAAAATACTGCCAGCTGATATAGTCACCGATCTGTTTGGCTTGCCTTGTACAGTGGTTATGTGCATGTACTTTGAATAGTTTCATAATGTGGTATTTGTTTTGCTTCATTTATTTATAAGTGGTTTACTTTGTTGCTTTTTCCTTTGGGGCTATTTTTATATTAGGTTAATATAGAGCAAATATAATTTATGAAACTTTTTTCTGTTATAGGTTTTGTCCTTTTCATGAAATTTTTATGAATTTAGTTTGATATTTTCAAAAAGATTTTCTTAGAATAACATTTTAGGGGCTTGCACATTGGCTCAATTGACTAATCCTCTGCCTGACAGTGCTGGGATCCATATGGGCACCAGTTCATGTCCACTTTCCATCCTGCTCCCTGCTTGTGGCCTGGGAAGGTAGAGGGGGATGACCCAAAGCTTTGGGACCCTGCACCCGTGTGGGAGACCCAGAAGAAGCTCCTGGCTTCAGATCAGCTTGGTTTTAGATCAGCTCAGCTCCAGCTCTTCTGATCATTTGGAGAGTGAACCATCAAATAGACGATCTTTCTCTGTTGTTTTTTCCTCTCTCTGTAAATCTTACCTTTCCAATGAAAACTAATCTTAAAATAACATTAAAAGACATTTATTAAGGGCAGAGTTATGTTGAGGATAAGAGAGACAGGTCTTCCATCTGCTGATCCAGTCCCCAAATGGCCACAAAGCCAGGATGGGGCCAGGCCAAAGTGAAGAGCCAGGAGCTTTATTCTAGGTCTCTGTGGATTCAGAGGAGCTGAGTCCTTGGACTGTCCTCTACAGCTTTCTCAGGCATGTTAATAGGGAATAGGAATGGAGATGGAACAACTGGGCCTTGAACTGGTGCCCACATGGAATGCTGGCATTGCAGGCAGCAGTTTTGTTTGCCAGACGACAGTGTTGCCCCTAGAATAAATTTAAGGATGAAACAACTGCATCACATGGGTAAATGTTATCAAGACTCATCCTGTGTGAATAATCATGCTAATATTTAGTCTTCTCCTTGTGCCAGACAATGCTCAGCATGTTCTTTGTGTTACCTCACTGTGTAGTCAGCATTGTCCGAGTCTCCATTTCATCTGTGAAGGGACCTGATGTGCGGAGAACCCAGGACTTGCCCCAGTGCGCAGTGGCAGAGCTATATTTAAATGCCAACCTGGCCCACTCAGGGCTTCAGAGGAGTGATGACTGTTGGTTCAGTTTATTGCCCCCAGCCTCGGACACACCGTGGCCTCACCAGCTGCAGCAACTGGCTGCTCAGTGTGGCTTCATCACTGCTTGCCACGTGTTTGATGGACAGGTCTCCCTGGTTGACATCAGGTCCAGAGCTCTTTCTGTCCTGGCCCTTCTGTGGCTGTCTCTAAACATGTTTCCCTTGATCCTAAGGATTTCCTGTCCTGTGCTTCCTCCCTAGGTTCTATGGGGCTCTTCTGGGAACAGTTTGCATGCTGTATCTGCTGCCACTCTGCTGGGTCTTTGCCCTTTTAAACAGCACACTCTTCCTGGGGAATGGGGAGTTCTTCCGGGGTAAGTGCTTGAGAGTTGGAAGGCTGCTGCAGGCTCAGAGTCACCCTGCTGAGCCTCCACCAGGGGGAGCACTACACAGTGGAGTGCCTTAGCCCTTCCGAAGGTGGATGAATCTGGGCTGAGGTGATACCAGCCACAAATTGTCCTGGCATTTGCTGCCTGATGATTGTATGTTCCCAGAGTGCCCATCTGCTGCCTGTCGTATGAAGTGCTGAGACAGTCTGGAGGACCCCAAGTCACAGGGGCTTGGGCCTGTGAATGTGCTAGGGTGGTTGCTATATGCATATATGGTGTAAAAATTGTTTTATCATTAATATTTGAAAGATAGAGTGACAGAGAAAAGGATCTATTCTGATTCATCCCCCACTAGCCAGGACTGGGCCAGGCTGAAACCAGGAGCCTGGAACTCCATCTGAGTCGTCCACGTGGGTGGCAGGGGACTCAGGTACTTGGGCTGTCATCGACTGCTCGCCCTGGTATATTAGCAGGGAGCTGGACTAGAAGTGGTGTAGCTGGTGCTCTCGTATGGGAAGCAGGCATCACAATAGTGACTTATCCTGCTGTGCTGCAGTGAGGGGCCCAAATAGTCATAATAAAGAAACCATCGTTTGTTAAGCACTTCTACTTGACTCTCTAGGCAGTCTGGAGTAGCTGGTCGTGTGTGTTTATTCATGAGGCTTGGTGACATGCTTGGAGCAAGGAAGGTGACTTGTCCCTACAGCAGAGGGTCGGAGCTGGAGGGAGCTAGTGGGCTGTGGAAGTGAGCGCTTGCCCAGCACTGCTCACACTATGTCTGCTTCCTGCCGCTCCTCCTGGCCCTGGGCAGTGGTGTCAGAGTACAGGACGGCTGTGCAGCGACGGCTGAGCCCCAGGCAGGAAGAGCCTGCTTGCCAGAGTCTCCCACCACCAGATGCTGTGGCAAAGTCTGCTCTGCTGGACAGCACGCCTGACCCCACGCCCACGGAGGTGAGTACCTGAGTGCAGGAGCCGAACCCCTCTCATGCAGGGTCTGAGCCGTTCTTTACTGCTTGCTCCTGGGTTGCCTCTGCTGCAGTTCCTGCTGCTTCCCAGGCCTGATCTGAGTGCCTGCCTGGTGATCATTGTCATCAGAACAGCTGCTCTGTGCCTCACTGTGGGCTTGCTGGGTGGCACGTGCTGTGCTGCATACCTGATGTTGGCAGCACCATGAGTGTAGCGATCGCAGGAGAAGGCTGAGGCAGAGTGGCTGCCAGGGTTCCAGGGTCAGGCCCTGGCTCTACACCTGTGTGCAGCTGCCTGCTGTGTGGTCACCGTTGGTCTAGCTGTGGTCTCATCTCCTCCCGCTGTCCCTGGTGGGTGGAGGTTGCTGTGTTTCCTGTGACTTCCTTCTTTCCTGCGGTTGTGCCATTCTCCTTGGGCAGGAACAGATGCTTGGGGAGCCTGGCTGCCTGCTCAGAGAAGCCCTCTGCCTCAGGGAACTGGGCTGCCATTCTTCTCCTGTCATCGTCTCTTCTTAGGACCTCACGCCGGGCAGTGTGGAGGAGGCTGAAGAGGCGGAGCCAGATGAGGAGTTTAAGGATGCCATTGAGGTGGGCACTTTCTCACCACTCTCTGTGAACCAGACCAGAAGGGCAGTTCCCCTAGAGCTGATGGTTTTTCTTATGTCCCAAAGAGAAGGCCAAACTTGCTGTGAAGTAGAATGCACGGGTTGAAAGGATGCTGATGACTGCTGCCTCTTCAGTTGCCTGTCTGGCCAATTCTGGCTGCCCAGCCTAGGGCAGTTCTGGGGCCTTTGGGTAAACCTTTTCCAGGAGTTGTTTCACCTTTTCTGGAAGCAATGAGCCTGCTTTCTTTGAGGTGGGGAGGCCGCTGTCCTGCCTTTCTGTGCTTCTGTTCCTTTCAGGAGCAGGGAGCGGATGAAGAGAAATTGTATGTGGGTATGTGGCCAAGTACTGGGTCAGGAAAAGTTAGACAGCCTTCTTGATTTTAGGACAGTGGTTCAAACTGACAGTCTGAGAAATGGTTTTTTTTTTTTTTTTTGTTTGTTTGTTTTTAATAATCTTACTTAGTTGATTAGGGTACAAAGGGTCAAGGGCTGCAAGAAAGTGGATAATACCATTGTTTCCACACTAATGTCATTTTTTTCCCTGTATCTGGGGTCAGGGGAGAAACTGAGAAGTGTTTTATTTGGCATGCAAAGTAAAGGACCTTTTTTGTTGTTGTTGTTGAAAGATTTATTTTATTTTTTATTGGAAAGTCAGATATACAGAGAGGAGAGACAGAGAGGAAGATCTTCTATCTATTGATTGATGCCCGAAGCGGCTGCCACGGTCAGAACTGAGCCAATCTGAAACCAGGAGCTTGGAGTCTTTTTGGGTCTCCCATGCGGGTGCAGGGTCCCAAGGCTTTGGGCCGTCCTTGACTGCTTTCCCAGGCCACAAGCAGGAAGCTGGATGGGAAGAAGTAGAGCTGCTGGGGTTACAAAGGGCACCCTTATGGAATGCCAGCGTGTGCAAGGCGAGGGCTTTAGCCACTAGACTGCTGTGCTGGGCCCTTAAAGGACTTTTTAAAAACATTTATTTAAAGGAAACGAATTTCTTGTGGTTCAGTATAGTTTTAGGAACATAATGATACCTCTTACCCTGCCCTCCCTCCGTCTGGTAATGGTTTGAGCCAGTGTGTAAATGTGGGGTGTTGTAGTCAGAGTTCCCAATTTTCAGTTTCTTGGTGTCCCTGAGTCTGCAGCAGCCCAGGTAGCTGCAGACAGACTGTTTCCTTTTGGTAAATCACATGCTGTGGTTGTGAACAGTCCCTCACACCTTGTCCCCGGTCACTGAAGCCTAGTGGAGGTGGTTTTATTGTCACACTGACACTATTATTAGAGTAGGAAATCCTTTCTCTTCAGGTCTCTGTGAAGTGAGAAATAGAAATACAAGCTGTAAGGCTCGTGAATTTTCACTGGGCCTGTGATTTAGATGTGGCCTGCTGTGCTAGTCCGTCAGCACTGTCCCTCAAGGCATTTAAAGTTTCAACAACTAAAAGATTTGTCCAAGACTTTGATGTTCAGTTGTAGACTGATTCTAGCAGAGAGGAGAGATATGTATAGCAGGGATCTTCAAGCATATATATATTTTTTAATTTATTGGAAAGGCAAAGTTAGAGAGAGAGAAATAGAACTCCCATCCACTGCTTCGCTTCCCAGAAGGCTGCAGTGCTAGGGCTGGGACAGGCTGAAGCCGGGAGGTGAACTCTACTCTGGTCTGCCACGTGAGTAGCAAGATCCCAAATATTTGGGCCATTTTGCTCTTCCTTTCCAGGTTCTTTAGTAGGAAGCTGAATCAGAAATGGAGTAGCCAGGACTTGAGTATGGGATGCCAGTATTGCAGGTGGCAGCTTAATCCGTCGTGCCACCATGCCAGCCCTTTTCAAGCATTTTTGTTCATGACCCACAGTAAGGAACACATTTTGCATCTTGAGCCAGTTAACTCTTACATCTGTAAAACAGATAGACATAAGAAATTTTATTTATTTATTTATTTTAAAATAAATTTTAAAACATGTTTTCTTTCCTACTTTGTTCTCTTCTGTTCAAATAATGAGCCACTAAATTGAGTTTACTCTGGCCTGGTACAATGGCTCAATTGGCTAATTTTCTCCCTTCAAATACCAGGATCCCTTGTGGGCACCAGTTCATGTTCCATCTGTTCCACTTTCCATCTAGCTCCCTGCTTGTGGTCTGAGAAGGCAGAAGGGGATGGCCCAAAGCTTTGGGTCCCTGAACCCAAGTGGGAGACCTGGAAGAAGTTCCTGGTTCTTGGCTTCAGATTGGCTCAGCTCAACCGGTGCAACCATTTAGAGAGTGAACCATCAGATGGAAGATCTTTCTCTCCATCTCTCTTTTCTGTTAAAAAAACAAAACAAAACAAACAAACAAAACAAAACCCAACAGTGCAGTGTTCTCTAGTGTCTTATTTGGGGCATCTGTTAATATCTCCCTTTGGGAATACTCAGGACTCAGCAGTTCTGGGGTTCCTTTTGTCTGGAGGTCTCCTTCCAGCAACTTCTTCCTTCCTGCTATTTCTCTGTTTTCTCTCCTTCTCCCCTGCACCTCGGGAGGCAGGAGACCCATTTGGTGGTGCTGGTAAGTAGGAAGATGGGTGAGGTGGATGGGACTGAGTGGGCTGGGCCAGACCGGGAGAGCTGGCTGAGCCTGCGGTGCTGCAGCTGATGGGTTTGCTGTGTTGGGGTGGCTTGCATGCTGAAGCCTTCTGAGAGAGGCCAGGGCTGCAAGGAGCTGTTCCCGCAGGATGACGACGAGGGTGCCCCTTGCCTGGTGGAGGATGACCTGGTGCTGCAGGACAACGGCTTCCTGAGCAAGAATGAGGTGCTGCGCAGCAGGGTGTCGCGGATTACAGAGCGCCTCCGCAAGCGCTGCCCAGCCAACACCTTCGGTACTGGGCGGGGAGCAGACCGCAGGGACCGCTGGGGCTGCGGGGCTGTCAGTTAGGGAACTGGGCATAGTGCCTGTGGGACCGCTGAGGGAGGGAGTGTGGGTTCTTCCTTCTCCTCTCAATCAGACTTCATTTGCAGGAAGATGGGAACTGGGTTTAGGCCATGCCCTCCAGGCCTGCACAGGACTACGATCCTGAGACAGAGCCTTAGAAGAAGTTGTGCACCCTGCCAAGAAGGGAATCAGGTCTCGCTGCCTGGGTCAAGTTCCAGGTCATCAGAGTATCCTTGCACTTTAGCTCATGTCCCATGCCTCAGCTTCCCTTCTGTGCAAGAGGCTGATAGTTCTTATCCCGCAGGGCTGTTGTGATTTGTAAATGGTATGTTAATATGCAAGGCCCTCTCCGGTCATATAGATTTTCAGGAGCTTGTTGTGGCAGCTTTAGAGATACTGATTAAGCTGTTAACCCAGCTTGACCACCTGGCTGGCATCAGGAGCACCAGGAGCTGAGCCAGATACAACTGTAGTACATGTCTGGAGGAGTTGGTGACCCTGGAACCAGCCCCATGCTGAGGAGTGCAGAGTGCATGACTTCTGCCGGCTCTCAGCTGAGGGAGCAGTGCAGGGGGCTGTCTTTTGGTGTGGTGTGAGTGCTAAGGTCTGTGCCTGGAAGGGTGTGGGGTTTGCTCAAGGACTCCAGGGGCTGCCACCTCCTCATGTGGCATTCAGGGCAGTTGTTTGCTCAGAATATTTTTTTTTCAAATATTTTATTATTTTTTTAAATTTGAAAGACAGGTTTTACAGAGAGGAAGATAGAGAAAGAAGGTCTTGCATCCACTAGTTCACTCTCCAAAAAGCCACAATGGTAATTGCTGAGCTGATCTGAAGCCAGGAGCTTCCTTTGGGTTCCCGTATGAGCACAGGTTCTAAGGACTTGGGCCATCCTCTGTTGCTTTCCCAGGCCATTAGCAGAGAGCTGGATGGGAAGCAGAACATCAATGCCCATTTGAGATGCTGGCATCACAGATGGTAGCTTAACATACTTGCGGCCTCCAGACACCTTCTCTCTCTCTCTCTGTTAAATATTTTTAAAAATTTATTTTATTGGAAAGGTAGATTTTACAGAGAGAAGAAGTGAGAGAATGATCTTCTGTATGCTGGTTCAGTACCCAAGTGGCTGCAGTGGCTGGAGCTAAGCTGATCCAAAGCCAGGAGTCAGGAGCTTTTTCCGGGTTTCCCACGGGGGTGCAGGGTCCCAAGGCTTTGGGCCATCCTCCTCTGCCTTCCTAGGCCATAAGCAGGAAGCTGGATGGGAAGTGGACAGCTCTCCCTGTCCTTTGATGTTGAGTGGCGAGTTAGGAAGCCAGGACAGAACCTTTGTTGGGAATGGGGTCTGAAGCTCGGTAAGTGCTGGAGGGCGCCCAGGCATTCTCCATGGCTGCTGCCTGCCTCAGCCTGGGTCGGTGCGCAGTCCTCCTGGCCTCAGACCTGGGGTGCTGCTGCACAGTTGTTCACTGGACCACATGGCTAGTCCACGTGGTTCTGAGCAGTCTGACCCCGGCCAGAATATTGTCTTGGAGTTACTGCTTCTAATGTCCCATTCCCTTCTGCCCAGCCTAGGAAAGGCCTCCCCATTCTCGGAGTCTTTCCTGCAGCTGCATCTGCAGGTTGCTGGTTTCCTGGTTTGGCACCGCCAGGAGCCACAGAATCTGCTGTTCTCTCTCCTTGACACTGCTGGGTGATCTAACAGACAGTGTTGGGTATTTATCGTGAATGCCTTGGGCTACATTTCCCTTAACTTCAGCCAGTCTCTTTCTTTGAACCCAGGGACTTTAGTGAGAGCCAGGAGTGATTTCTGGCTGGGCTGAGGCAGCAGCCACGCGTTGCTGCCAGGATAGCTTTGGGACCTTTGTATGTACGTGAGGCCTAGTACTTGTTCCTGGCCTGCAGGTGAGCGAGACACTCCGCACCACTTCGGTCTTCATTTTGCAGAGATGTCTGTCTTCCCCATACTTCAGTTATTCTAACAGCCAGCCCCCTGTCCATTTTGATTTATTTCTTTGAGAGGCAGGGACATACCCTGCAAGTAAGAATTGATAGGCTGCACCAGGTCCAGGCTGAGTTGTTGGTTTATTCCCCAAATGTTCACAGTACCCACACTTGGGACAACGATGAGCCTAAAAGCTGCTCCCAGAAGCAGAAACCAGGTCTCCCGTGTGGTGGCAGCAGCCCTGGGAGCCGGCTCCACTGCCTTCCAGGGGCTGCAGTAGCAGGAGCTGTAGCAGAGGGTGCAGCCGAGAATTGAACACAGGCACTCGATGGGAATGTGGACACAACACTTGCTCCTCTCCCAGCAATTTTTCAAACTGTTGTTGCCTCCTCTTTGCCATTTTTTGGAAACATGCTGTCATTTCATCATTCACAGTTCTTTAGGCAGAGTCCTCCCAGCTCTGTCTTCTCCATGCCCCTTCACAGGACCTGTGCGTTCTGCCCTCCATGTCTTCCTGGTTCTGAACTTCTTTGGAATGTTGTAATGTCACAGCAGAGTCTGGGTTTCTTGGAGTCATTTCAGTTTTGTTCTGTCAAGTTTTTTTTTTTTGTTTTGTTTTTAAGATTTATTTATTTGTAAGTCAGAGAGGGAGAGATTCGTCTGTCTGCTGTTTCACTCCCCAGATAGCAGCAGCTTTATGGGCCAGGCAGAAGCCAGGAGCTTGGAATGCCGTGGTAGGCTCCCACTGGGTGGTTGGGGCCCAGGCACTTGTGCAGTGACCTGTTGGCTTCCTAGGCACTTCAGCAAGGTGCTGCGTTGGAAACAGAGCAACAGACTCCAGTCCATATGAGATTCTAGCTTAATTTGCTGTGCCATAGGGCTGGTACTTCTACGCTGTCAAATATTTGTAAGGCGAGGCCTTGGAGGTAGTCAGGGCAGGCTTCATCAGGCTCCTGCCAGCTGAGCTGGATTTCCAGGGGAAGGTTCTACAGCGTTCTCCTTGGTTTCAGCTGAGCCTACAGGTAGGGCCGCTAAGCTTCTGGAGAAATCAGGGGCCATTGGTCACAGGTGGCCTGGCAGCTGATTCCAGGGACTGTCAACCTTTTGTTCCAAGTTTGAGTCTTTCCTTTTGGCTCAGAATCTCGGCTGTGCTCATTGTTCACTCTGTCCAGCCTGATCTCCTGAGGGTCCTATTAAATGGACCTTTAATCACTTGCGCCACCGCGCCGGGCCCGGGTCCTATTAAATGGAAAACTGCCAGAAACAGTTGAGAATTGAGAGGCTGAGCTGGGTCAGGACTGAGCTGTTTCCTTGTCTCTCAGGGACCTGCACGGGCTGCTCTGCCACCTTCTCAATGCTCAAGAAGAGGGTAAGTCTCTCTGAGGGCTTGTTTCCCGGGACAGTGTCCGTGGGACCGGGTGGCACTTCATGTCCTTGATGGGGCAGTGGCCGTGTGCCTGGGCGTGCTTCACATCCTTGTTTTGCGGAAGTGAGTGTAATTCCCTTTGTCCCCATGCTCACATCTTCCGTAGCTTTCCCGGGTGTTCTGCTCGGTCTTTTACTCCGTGTAGGTACCTCCCCAGTTCTGCTTTCTGTGAATGCTACCAACTGGTGAGGGTGAGGGAGGCCCATCTGGCCTCAGGCTTCCCTTGACACTGGTTTTGGCTCTTGCCTACAGCGGAACTGCAGTAACTGTGGAAACAGCTTTTGCTCTCGGTGCTGCTCCTTCAAGGTGCCCAAGTCTTCCATGGGGGCCACAGGTGAGTGGTCAGGGTGGCAGGTGTTTGGGAAGTAGGGGACTTGGCTATTCCTGCCCCTGCAAGGGGAGGCTGCTTTGTGGGAAAGGAGTGAGGGGTCCAGGAAACCCAGCGTCCCAGTCTGAGGCCTGCAGTGACATCTACTCCATCCCTGGTGAACACGGGCAGTGGCTTGTGAGATGGGAGCGAAACACAGCAACAGAGTGACCATGGTGACTGCATTGCAGTTACAAGCTGGTGTCTGCAACATGAGGAGCTCACTTGCAGCTCCTCTTGCTGCTGCATTCCTCGGAAGCCACTGTCTTGAGGTTACTCTTTATTATCTTAGTAACAATTTTAACAAAGCTAAACTCATTTCTTTTCCTTGTACTGGACATGCTTGTAAATGAAACAAAATAAAACAAAACATACAGATAAGCAACAGGAAAATCTTCTTGCTTACCCGAGAGAATGGTCAGGTGTAGACCCTCAGGTTCCCCCGTTAGTGTAGGATAAACGCCTGTGCTCTTGAAAGCTGTGGTCATGTTTCACACGCTGCTTTATGTTCATTTACAGCATTAAAACCAAGTGCTTTTCCCTTCTGATCTTGATCTTGCAAGTAACACGTGCTTATTAACTAGAAAATTTGGAAATTACTATACAGAAGAAGAAGGAAGAGAAAAATAATCCTGTAATCTTACCACCCAGAGATAACCACTGCTAAAATGTTTTAGGAAAATTTCCCCTGCTATTTTATTTAAAAATCATTTTTAAGAGGTGTTCTGTTATTGCCAAAAGAATTTCTAGCAGAACACCTGGCAGAGGCCTGTGCTGGCATTCTCACCTCAGCGTTTCCTTGGAAGGAGGTGTCGGGGGCAGGCCAGGGCGCTGGGCTGGGAAGGGCTGGGCCGGGCTGTGGGTGGCCTGTGGGGTTTGGGGAGGATGGTTCTGTTAGTTGGGGCTATGAGCCAGAAGGCACCAGCAGACTTCTCACCGAGATCTTCCTTTCTTTCCAGCGCCCGAAGCCCAGAGAGAGACTGTGTTTGTGTGTGCCTCGTGTAACCAGACCTTGAGCAAGTGAGAAGGGAGGCCAGGTGCCAGCTGCCCCAGTCTCTAAGGCCAGCAGTAGGTTTCCCCTCTCTTCCAGCTGCTATGGGGTGGTCAGGCAGGGTGGCCTGGATGGTTAGAAGGCTTCCTCCTGCGTCCCTTCTGAGCTCAAACTGAGGGGAGAGAAGCCCCTGCGGGGCTTGTGGTCCTTCTCTGCCTAGCCTGAATGTCCTCAGGGCTGAGCCAGGAGTGTCCACTAGAGGGCAGCAAGAAGCCAGCCCGCTCTCCATCTGGCTCTGAGCAGGGCTGACCCTGCTGCGTCTGGGAATTCTAGACCTGAGGCTGAGGAGAGTTTCTTCCCTTTAGGGTGTTGGAGCAGTCCCTCGGCCTGGGAGAACGCACACAGGGCTTGGGAGTGCTGCAATTCTGTGATGCCAGGATCTGACCATTTTCTCTTCAGAAGATGTGACCAGAGCTAGCTGGACTAGCAGTGCTTCTAGAAACAGGGTTGCGGTTCCTAAGCTTCCCAGAGAGGAAAGTGTTTGGCAGGCCTGGCTGAGTCACTCAGTGTTACCTGGAGGATAGGGAGACCTCAGCCCTGCCTTGCAGTCTTAGCCCCCGCAGTGCTGTGCTCTTTCCATGTGCTGCTTGCTTGGTCACTCCATTCCCCGTCCATAACTCCCACCCCTTGGAGTCCATGGCAGCCTTCCTCAACCGGCCCACCCTCTTTGGACATGTGAGGCCAGATGACTGGAGCAGAGATCCTGAAGCCCTTGACCTTCAGGGGCCTGGGAAATGTAGGAACACGCTGGGTGAGTCCTGCATTCCATGGCAGTTCCCAAGAGAGGAGCCTCAGTTGTGGGATAGGGTGAGAGGGGTCCCCCAATTCTTCTCAACAATTTTATATTGACTCAGAGATGCTGAGGGACCTAGGTCTCCCCAAGCCATGAGCTGGCTCAGGCACTCCTCCCTCCCTCCCTAGAGCTGCCCTGCCTTTTTGAAGTATTTATTTATTTATTTCCTGGTTCCTGGGAACATGCAGCTTAAGGAGAGGAATGAACGAGACGAGGGGCCTGTCCTACCTGAGATGCCCCCGTGGTTAGGGGCTGCTTGGCATCCAGGAGCCACAGGTGGCTTCATGGTGGGCGTTTCTGGTCTTTAAGTGGGAGCAGGCAGGAAGGCTGCGGAGACAAGGCCAGCTTTGTCACCAGGCCCAGCACTGTAGGGCTCAGTAGCTCAGGTGCCGGTCCTGGAGAACCAGGCAGCCTTGGTGTATCTGCTGTGACCTGCTTTGAGAAGGAAGTGCCCTGTGCTTCATTACACTGGAGATGAACCAAGATGACCTCTGCGTACGGAGAGTCTCCAATAAAAAGGCCTCATACTCCTTGGGCTCTTGTCCTGTCCTTGTGCTGGCGACACTCTTCCAGAGCTGAGGTGCTGAGCTCCCGGGCACGGCCTTGCTTTGCATCCTGGTTTGGGGACCAGGAGGAACAAGGTTGTGCCTTGCACACAGGAGGGCATCTGTGTAAGCTTATCGGATTGACTGGAGGCCGTCTTGTGACCCAATCCTGAGGGCTGGGGTTGGTGCAGGTTCAACAGTGCAAGCTTTAGTAAATCCTTCCAAGAAGGCCGCAGAGGGTCAGCCCTGGGAAGCCGAGCGGCCGCAGGAAAGTGAGTTTGCTGAGAAGGGAAGCAGAAGCCCTGCTCTGGGAGCTGGTGTCGGCTGTACTGGTGCACCTTTCCTTCGTTGTTGGCTGTGGCCCTGAGCGGCAGCCACTGTTCTGCCCCTGCAGCTGCACCAGGCGCCGGCCAGGAACCAGCCAGGAACCAGCCCTAGCTCTGCACTGAATTACCTTGTTAGTTGCTGTGCGAAATCTCTGCCACTTATTTATCTGTGAAACGGGTGCAATGGTGCTTTCTGGGGCTGCTGGGAGAGTTCAGTGAGATGGTTCTGAGATGGTGCCGGGCAGACACCTGGTGCTCAGGAAATGCCAGTCTCATCCTGACAGGCTTTGGGCAGAACAGAGTGCCTTGGGGCCCTGCACCAGTGGGTTGTTTTTGAATTTGAGATTGTTAGAGAAGAGTGTCAGGGAGAAGGATGGGTGGGGAATGAAAAAGCAGTATCATTCTATTTTTGGAAAATGAAAACAGTGCCAGATGATGGTGAGAGATTCAGAAGGCACTATGGGAGCCCGGGCTGAGGCACGGCTTTCATCTTCATCCTCAGGTCAGCAGCCTCCTTGTCTGCTTGAGCTCTCTGGGAGAGCAGTAGCAGTGAGGTGTGCCTTTCAGCTCGTGGCTTCCCAGTAGGCACAGCACCTGTGCTTGGGCTTACCCTTGTTGAATTCTGAGAGCAGGAGCAGGACGGGGGCGCCAGGTTCTGGACAGTTGCCTCCCGTTCTCATGGCCTGGCTGGATGTAGAGTTCTGTGGGCCCTTCTGGTTGGATGGTATGTTGCACAGTCTTTGGTGAGCCCTTGGCAGCCATTGAACTCCTGGTTCTTTCTGGGGTCCTCAGGATTTGTGACAGATATGGTGTGTCTACTGGTCCCTGTCCCTGGAGGCTTGCAGTGCTGCAGCCAGGGGAGCCAGTGTGTCTTGCATGTCGCAGGTGCTTGTGGGGACCACGTAAGGGAAGCCTTGGGATGAGCATAGCTGCCCTGCATGTTGTCCCCTGGCTGCCGGGCCTGCTCCCCTCCCAACATCCCCACACCAGAACAGAGGCAGCCTTGTGCCAGGAGCTCTCCCCAAGGCCCCAGCTCCCAGCCACCCTCCCTCCTGCTTTGGCTGGGCTCCTAGAGCACCCCAGAGCAGCACATTCCATTCTGTGGCACAGCTGGGGGCAGGGGATTCCGGATTCCCCTGACCACCCCAGCAGAGCTGGCTGCTGTCTGGGCTGGGACACTGAGTCCTAGCCACACGCATTCCAACAGCAGCCACCCCTCCCCCCTGCTCCCTACCCTGTGTCAGATTTCCCCTGGGAGTGAACTTGATCCAGGATTACAGCCTACTAAACAGTTGTGGGATGTGAGCTGCCTTTGTGAGGACCTGAGGAGAGAGGGCTGGCGCACCCGGAGGGGAGGAGGACTTGTGGCTGGACTGCCTCTGGAGACAAGCCCTGGGCTCCTCTGCTTGCAGGAGTCTTGGGAGTGGGACTGGCGCAGGGTCCCCAGATACCTTCCAGTGAGGCAGGCTGGCAGAGGCATGGCTGTCTGCACCTGCCGGCTTGGGACCTGGCCCTACAGCCAGTGGTCTGGTGGCTAAGAGCATGAGGTCAGCCTCTAGCCCCCACGGTGTATGCGTTGGCTTGTTGGCCTCAGCCACCATCATTAAAATGCCACTGAGTGCCGCAGAGGGCTGTTGGGAAAGTGCCTGCCACCCAGCGTGCCTTGACAGTGACTGATAGCTAGTTTTGTGTCTTACTCCACAGTGTCGCTCACACACCACCTGAAGCCCCAGATGTAGGCTCTAGCTCCCTTCTTATTTATTTTTAACATTATTTATTTGAAAGAACTATAAAGAGTGAGAGAGCGCTTTCATCCACTGGTTCACTCCCAAGGTACCTAAATGGAACAGGACTGGGCTGGGCTGAGGGAGCTAGGTGCTCTTCTTGGGTTTCCAATTGGCAGTGGCAGGGCCCAGACAGTTGGGTCATCTTGCTGTTGCTGACCCAGACATATGGGCAGTGAGGCGGATGACAGTGGAACAGACGGGATATGAATTGGTGCCCACATATGATACTACTGTCACAGGTAGCAGCTTTACATGCTGTGCTACAAGGCCAGCTCGATCTAGCTCCAAGTAAGTCCTGACTTGGATGAGGTACTGTTGACTTACAAATGAAGTGTTTTACTGAGGATCTGTTACGCAGGCACTGCTTGCTAGGTTAGAGCTTTTCATGAATTAGCATACTAATTACCATCTAAGGAACATTTCCTAAATGATGTGCACTGATTTCAGGTTCTCTTGCCTTTCCCCAGCACATTGCTGAGCACTGGGCAAGTAGACTTCACTGCGTTGTGCAGCTGGGTGGTGGTCTCGGGGTCAGCCTTTTTCACTTAAGTGCTGGGCCTGGAAGGCAGGCAGGGTGGGGCTGTGCTACCCATGCCCACCCCAGCCCTGGTGGTGGGCTGTCTGCCCCTTGCTCTTTGCTGAGAACTGCAATTTTGTACCCAGCTGGAAAACTTGACTTCCTCTGCTCTCTTGCTGTGTGGCATCATTCTGGCCAGTGAGCTAGAAGTGGAAATCTACCAGGTGGGACTGGGTGGGAAATTACTGTTTTTTGGATCAGAAGGGCCGAGCCAGCTGACATGTGGGTTTTGCTCCTAGCCCTTCGCTGGGAGCTGCCTGGAATGTGGTGCAGGTGGGAGGAGGAGGAGCAGCACTTGAAAGCCAAAACAAAAGCTGGTAGGGGGGTTGGACCTCCCGCCCATTCACCTGCAGCCTCCTGCATGGAGAATCCCCACTCTGCTTGGGGTTTCTGCCCATGTGGTGGTCACGGAGCAGTGTTCACTGAGCCTGGGCCGTGGCTCCTGTTGGCTGGGTGCATCATGGAGGGAGAAAGGAATGAAAGAGGGAGCTCAGGCCTTAGGAGTATTCCTCTGGGCCCCAGAAAAAAGGTTGTTGATGGTGGAGTCTGGGAGCGGATCCTGGTGGGCACTGTGAGGAATGCCTTCCTGGGTGTCACGGGATGAGCTCAGGGAGCCGTCTCCCCACTACCCCACTCCTGGCTCTGCTGCCAGCACCTGACAGAGGTGGGTATTGTCCTTCAGCCAGCCATGGTCCCAGCCCTGTGTGCGCAGTGGAAAAATCACCCCTGCTCCTGGTTGACCGTAGAAGTGTCTGTAAATATTTGGTCGGGATGGAGGCTGGGAGACAAGGCGCAGCTTCAGGGAGCCAGGGGAGCTGGGCTGAGCTCTGGTCAGGGTGGGTGGCCATGGTTCCTCCCCCCACCTTCTCAGGAGAGGAGAAACAAACGAGCTTCTGCTGCTGCTGACCTGAGTGGAGGCCACCTGACTGCCCCAGGGAGATTAATGGGGGGGGGGAGCTGTCAGACCACCTGCTCGCTGGACCGCAGGGCAGCTCAGAATAGCTTGAACCAGCCTTACTGCAGGCTGAGCTTTGGGCCTTCATGGAGATGCTGCATTTCCGGGAAGGAGCTGTGAGAGCCTGGCTGTCCATGCCTCAACAGAAGCAGGCTTAATGGGACCTGGCAGCCTAGCCCCTCCCCACTGGCAGGAAGGCCTTGGGTGCTCTGCCCCCTGACCTGCCCTGTCCCTCAGCACCATTTGGCAGACCCCTGCAGGGAGCTCCTTCCTGGCACTGCCCTTTTCCTCCACTGGCTGTTTGAGGGTGGTGGTCTCTTGTCTCTCTGCCCTGTCCACTTTCATCTGCCTGCTGGAGCTTTCAGCCCCCTCAGTTAACTTCTGTATTCCGTGGATTTCAGCTCTGGCTGCACATCAGGGAGCATCTAAAAACAGGTTTCTGGGCTCTCCAAAGAGATTCTCATTTGGTTGCATTGGGGAGGGGCAGTGTTGTGTAAAAACCCTCCAGGGTCAGATGTGTATGTGTTAAAATGCAGGTGCGAGTGCACCCTGTGCCTCTGACCAACTCCCAGGAGATGCTGAGACCGCCTGTCAGGGACCCTGTGTGGGGCTGCGCTGGCTCCAGCCTTTGCTTCCTGTGGGGCAGGACTGTAACTCATGGTACCCGAAGGCTGTAGGGGAGGAGGGCCTTAACTCTGCAGTTCCCTGTGGGCCAGTCTTCCCAACTCCCCAGGACGGGGTGTCCACATGAGGGAGGCACTGCAGCGCTCTGGGAGGTCTTCTGACCATGGTGCAGGCTGGGTGAGGACTTGGTACCTCTGTCCCTCCTCAGAGGCAAGAGGATTGTCACCTCCATCCCCCAGCTCTTGGTCTGAGAGGGTGACCCTCACCACGTGCCCTCTAGGATCCTATAAGAAGAGGTGTGACTTAGATATTCCACAAAGGTCTTTGTGGCCAGGCAGTGTAGGTTAAATAAGAATCCCATTCTGAGCTTCCCCTCCCCCCACCGCTGCAGAACCAACAAGAACACCATCGGGTCCAAGCCAACTGGTGTTTTCTTTGATTTAATTAAAAACTTAACAAAAATTGAGAGCTGAGCCCCACCAGTAGCAGTTATCTAGTTCCTATGGCCTCAGAGCAGAAGCAACAACTCAAGCCTTCAGGGTCAGAAGTGACTGGAGTTGCCATGTGACCCTGGGCTGCCGACCTGTGGGAGGGGTCTGCATAGGTCAGGCGAGGCCACTCTGCAGTCCCTGGGCAGCTCCTGGCTTTGGGGTAGGAGAGTACAGACGGGAGGATGGCGTGTGCTGGAGGGCATCAACGACCTAGCTCCTATTCTTTAGGAGTGGCAATGAGGACACAAACAGGGTGGGCTCAGCTTAAGAACTGTGGCTTCCCTCTGCCACATGGGGCCCCTTCACCAGCACCGGGGCACCTGTACTGCCTCCACACTGGAAACCAGCTCCTTAGCCACTCTGGGCCCTGCCACCTGTGCCTCTCCCTCCCTAGCTTTCTGAGACCCTGGTGGTTCCCCCAACAAAACAGTAAGCTTCAAGGTGGCCAGCCCCTGCCACACACCCATCCTTCGGGGTCTGTGCCCAACACCTCTGCACAAAGCAGGGCTGGGGCATTCTGGGAGTGGGGACAGGAACTAAGGGCAAGGCGCAGCTGGCTGGGGAGCAGGGGGAGGAGCATCCTTCAGTGGGGTTCTGCAGCCCCATAGAAGAAGGGGTAGTAGAGGGAGCAGGGGTAGGAGAACATGAATTTGACTGCGAACTTCATCTCCTTATTCTTCTTGTCCCAGCGGTAGACAGCCATGAGCAGCAGCTGGCCGTCCACCTTGCGGCCCATGACCAGGAAGCTGCCTGTTAGGCTGTCCAGCTGCGGGCAGGGGCAGCCTGCCCCATTCTTCATGTGCAACACCAGCCTCTTGGTGTCCTTACGTTTCAGGGGGCCTGGCTTCAGCAGCTTCTTCTTTTTCTGCGCGCCAATCAATTTGCGGTCACCGTTCTCCACCTTGACTTCCTTGATGCGCATTTTGACCACTGTGGGAAGGGATGGGGCAGTTTGAAAATGGCCAGGTCTGCTCTGGATGCTGGTGGCTCAGCTTGGAGCAGGTGCATTCTGGGTGTACAAGGGATGGGGCTCTTAAAAGCTGTTGGATTTTGGTAGTGTGGCGTCCCAGCCTTGAGGCTCAGGACCAGGGGCCTGAGTCTTGCCCTGATTGCCTGCAATGACCTGAGGCTGGCCTGCTCTGCAGTTAGGGCCTTCCAGTGATAGCATGTGTGGGGTGGGGAATGGGCTGGGGTGTGGGGCCCAGCGAGGGGAGGGTGAAGGTGGGAATGCCACTGGGAGGAGGACCTAGGGACAGAGGATGCTGGGCCTGGGGATCTCAGGATGGCTCCCTGGGGGACTTGGGCTGTATGTGCAGGGCACATGAGTGGGTAGAGCAGTGGCGGGCTGGGAGTTGCTCAACAGCTGAGTCTGGGAATGGCCACCCTGTTGCATGCATACCGTTGCCACAGCTGACCACATCACTGAGTGGGGTTGGGAAGAGATGTGCACAGATCTGCTGCTGCTGGTGCAGACACCCCATGCTGGGCTGTGCGTGTGTGGCTGCAGGGGTGGGATGTGTGTGGTGTTTCTGTGTGTCAGTATGTGTGAGGGAATGTGGGGAAGCTGGCTACCTTAGAGATTCATACAGCTGCAGATTAGGAGCCTTGGGCTGTGGGGGCACAGAGGGCTACTCAGCGAACCTTTCTCTTCTTCAGGGAGAAGAGAGTACCCACTTGGGAAAGGAAGTTCTGTTAAAATCTGTTGCTCTTTCTCCTTCTCCCTGCCCCACATCCCATTGGTATGTTCTTTCCAAACAGGCCAGCATCATATACTACTTCTGTGAAGTCAGGATTTGGTTCTTATAGACAAGGGCTGGACATGGAACAGGTGATGGATTTGGCCAAGGTTGTGTATGGGACATGGGTCTCTATGAGTCAGGCCCTGATCAGACATGGCTCGCTGGTTCAAGTAAGGGAGAGGCTCTGTTTGCAGTGGTGGGGACAGGTGACCGTGGCACTCCTAGCCAGCGGTACACTGGGTATGAGGCAGAGACACCCCGGGTTAAAGTTTGCCTCCTATAGTGTCATCCACCTCTAGGCTAAGCCTGCATCCCTGAGAGGCCGTCGAGCCATGGGAGTCCCTCTATGGACAGCCGTGGTTGTAGTGGCTCAGGGGCCATGGCCTTGAGGACTTCTGAGGTTGCTGAGATGTGCAGAAAGAGGGCGAGAGTGTGTGGTTGTCAGGTTCTGTAAGGGATCTGTGGTGTGGTACTCCAGGAGACAGGATCCACTGAGGCAGAGGTGGGCATTGGTGGGCATGTGGGTCAGGGGTGGGGCTTGGGGGCACCAGGGCGCGGCCGCTGGACCTCACACTCACCGAAGTCACTGGAGCACATCTGCTCCATGAGGCCGTCAGCGCTGTGCTCCATTTCACACTGGGCGCAGATCTTGGTCACTGAAGAGACAGGCGGGGCGGGGTGGGGCAGTTGGTGAGCACAACACAGTCCATGGAGCTACATGGGGGCTAGGCCCTTCCACTGACCAGGCATCCTCCTGCCGAGTCTCCACTATCTGCCTGAGATGTGGGGTAACAGCAGTCATACCAGTGCCTGCTCTGCGAGTGGGTGTGATGACCACAGGAGGCTGTGCAGGTCATAGCTGCCAGGTGGACATAGAACTGCCCCATGGCCCTGCCCCGTGGGCACATGCCGAGCAAGTCAGTAGTAGTACTCTGATTTGAGAGAATAGGAACCTGAGGCTCATGGCGGTTACCCACGTCTGCAAAGCCAGTGAGGAGCTGGCTTCAGAGGTAAGGATTGGTTTTTCCCAGTCCTGGACTAGGGTGGCGGTGCAAGAGTAAAGCTAGTTGGGCTGGAAAGGGCTATATGAGACTCACCCTAACAGGTAGCTTAGTAGAACTGATTTTTACAGTGGTGCTCAGAGAAGATGGGGCAGGTGGAGGGAGGCTCAGGATGGATTTTGGGCCTGGGGTTTCTGTGCTCACCAGGATGTTCGTGTCTGGGCTCAAAAACGCTGCAGAAGGGTGGGACTTCTGCTCCCTCTGCTCCCTCCACCACCTGTTGCCCCAACACTCCCAGCACAGTACCCTATAGCAAAGGGCAGGATGTAGGTGAGGTTAACCTTGGGTGGGGTACTGCCCCTTTAGGGCAGCTTGGCAGTGCTGGGGGTAACCAACCAGGGGAGGCTTTCCTGCTTAGTGCTGCCCAGGTGGGCTTGGGAGGAATTTGGCAGGTGGTGGAGGAATGGGGAAGAGCTGTGTGGGCCAGCACAGGAGGGGAGACAGAGCAGGGAGAGATGGGTTGATGGGATTGGGGGTGCGGTGGGGAGCCAGAACTCCTGTCTTACTGCTTCTGTAGGAATTGGTTTGCTCCCTGTTTCAAGGATGGAGAAGTGGAATCTGAGAGGAGTGAGGAAAGTTAACAGCCTGTCCCAGGGTGGCCTTTGGACATGGATGGGCTTAAGGTGAAAGGCTCACAGAGGAGGGACTTGGGGAAATGTAGGAGTTAGGGTTCTGGACACAAAATTGGGGGGTGTGCCTCAGGAGTACTGAGTCCCCCCATCCCTGGGCTGCTCCTCTTCTAACCCCTCCCGCCTACCCAGGAGTTCTTCGGGAGTACTCAGAGGAATGGAGGCTGGGGAGAACCTGTGGGCACAGCTGGAGCGGCAGAGCTCCCTGGCCTGGCAGCTTTGGGGAGATGGAAGGCTGCAGGGGAACAGGGCTGAGCGGGGTCTTCCTGTGTGTGGGGTGGGTGAGAGTTTGGAACCTTTCAAGAGGCTCACGGAGCTGAGCTAGGGGGGCTTTGGGGAGCAACCTTCGTCCCTTCAGGTGCTCAGCTTGTGCCACCCAGGGAGCGGGGGCTGTGGCGGCGGCGCTACCTGGAGGCGCGGTGGCGGGCAGGTGCCCGAACTGCACGGCGATGCAGAGGTCGTTGTCCAAGGGGAACTTGTGACAATGCAGCATCTCGGGCCAGGGGAAGCCGTAAGCCTCCATGAGCGGCGCGCAGCCGGCGCGCACAGCCTCACACAGCGAGCGGCACGGGTAGATGGGCCGGTCGAGGCAGACAGGAGCGAAGAGCGAGCACAGGAAGACCTGCGTGTCCGAGTGGCAGCGCTTGGCCAGCAGTGGCAACCAGCTGCTTGCCTGCTGCTTCACTTCAGCCAGGCTTTCGTGCTCCAGCAAGTTGGGCAGTCGCATACGCTTGTAGCCCACAGTGTGGCAGAGCGGCAGGTCAGCGGGGATGTCGAGGCACTGCGGCGGCTTGGAGTAGGAGCGGCCATGCAACGGCTCGGCCTGCCAGCTGTAGTAGTCGTACTCCTCGCCTCTCGCCAGCGCACCCAGCAGCAGCGCCAGCGCGGCCGCCCGTGCGCCCACCGCCGCCCGCATGGCTGCGCTGTCCCCCGCGCACGCCCTGAAGACCCCGACGCCCGGTGTGCAGCACCCTCAGGTGTCCCAGCTTGCGTCCCCAACTCCGTATGCCTCAGCCCGTGCTGCAGCTGAGGGCGTCCAAGTGGGTGGCAGCCTGCACTCTGAATGCTGCTGGCGCCTCCCACCTCGGGGCTCCAACCCCGGTCCCGCCGCTGGGCCCAGCCAATCTGCGGCCGCCTGGCCCCCGCCCCGAGGCATGGGGCAGGGTGGGGCCCTCGCCCCTCCTGCCCTGGCCCAAGCCCCTCGATGGCTTCCCCGCCCGGACGCGCCTTGTCTAGCGCCTCTCTCCCAGGCTCCCTGGCCTCCCTCAACCTTTCCCTCGCCCCTCACCTTCCCCATCCTTTCTCCTTATCTCCAGCACGGTCTCTCCTGTTCCTCTTCTCACGCACTCACCTCGCTTATCTCTGTCCGGGCCCTCCCCCTCCACTCTGTTTTCTCTTCCCTGACACCTTGGTTCTTCGCCCTGGCGGGGAGGCTATGGCTGTCTGCCCCCTCCTGGTGCCGGTGCATATCCTCCATCCTCACCCTGGGTGTTAAGGCATTCATGAGCTTCCTCGTGGTGCCCGTGAATGCCTGCTGGCTGCCTAACGAAAAGGGTGATAGGCAGGCATCCCAGCCCGGAACGGCTGAAGGATAGAGTAGCGTAGGCCGGGTGGGGCAGAATACTGCTCAGCCTCACCAAGGACTGCGGGCTGCACCCTGTGTGCCAGGTGTGTCTGTAAGCACGTTGCACAGATTGAAGAGGGGCAGGTGTTCCAGAGGCTCAGAGAAATAAGGGTTTTACACCCAGGTGGTCTGACTCCTGAGTCAGCCCAGAGCAACCAGGAGGTCTGGGCTCCAAGTGTGTGCTTAGGGCTGTGAGGGGAGGGGTGGCAGAGTGAGGTCACAGATCACTTGTGCAGGAGCCAGGGTTTGAACTTAGGTGTTGGGTGCCCAAAGACCAAACACTGTGGGAGAAGGCAAGAACAGACCATGTCTCTGAAGAGGGTCTCTAGGAAGAGGTTGCCTCCTGTTCTTGGTGTCTCCCACCTGGCCCTGGCTTTGCCGTCCACAGTTGCTGTAAGAGGAACCTGGACAGAGGCTTGGAGGCAGGGAGGACTCCTTGAGGGCCCAGTCTGACATCACTCCTCCCCAGCTTCCGTGAGGAGGGTGCCCTGATGTGGAGTGTCTCAGAGGCGGGCTGGGGGCTGGCTTTGCCTGGAAGCTGGCTGCCGGGGCACTTACCCCTCCTGGCAGTATCCAGAGTTTCTGGCTTTCCTTGGATCCATCCTTACAGTTGTATGGGGAGAGGAGAGGGAGGGTCATGTAAGGAGAACCTACTCTGTGTGGAGCACCTACTACACACAAGCCATGGGGGGGAGATGGCTGGGGATGCAGGCGTACCTGATGTAGCCCTCTCCACCTGACCTAGTCACAGTGTGGGTGGAGGAAGATGTAGCACACAGAGCCGGAGAGTAGGGCAGGATGTCTTGTGATGTCCAGGTGAGCAATGTAGAGCCTTTCCTTCCCTCTTCTCCCTCTCTCAACCTCACAGGTTCTGTGAATGGCCACGCGACAGGTAAAGAACTGGCAGTGCCACTGTAGCAATGGTGCTGAGCCCCACCAGGCTCATATCCTGCCGCTGGCTGGCTGGTGTCAACACCTGACCCTGGATTTCCTTGTTTGTGAGGTGGAACTTCCCTGGCAATTATTGTGGGGAAATAGAATCAATGGGAAGAAAGTCCCCTACACTGAATTGCCATGAATGGGGGTGCGGAGAGGGTCATGTTCTGAAAACCCCCAGGCACACCTTGCCCCGACTGTGGTGTGGGGACTCTGAGCAGCAGTGATGGGCTGGCCAGGTTATGTCTTCAGAGGAGGTGTGGCTTTGGGCACTGGGAGGGGTGTGGCAGCCTTGCAGGGAGCTGTGCAAGGTGCTGCTCTTTGTGCAGCCTGTTGGCTCTGCTACTGTTGGCATCCCAGAGTCTGACCTGGACAGAGCTGCGCATGGTAACAGCAGCACATGGCCCGAGGGCTGGGTCTCTTTCTGGCAGCCTGAGGGATGCTAAGGGGTAGTGAGGTCAGGTTGGGAGCCTCCTGGAAGCGGAGATTGAGCAGACTTTACCTGGCAAGTCTTGGGGCAGCCCAGGGCTGAGGTGTAGACATGCCCTGCAGAGGGTCCCCGCCCTGGGCTGGCACCAGGAAACTCTTCCTGGGCGGCCTGCTCTCTGATGTGGTACTTTCTTGAGGAGGCTGAACTGGGACCTGTCAGCTGGGTGAACACCTGGTGTGCTTGGCATCTGTCCCTCTCAGAGCGCCTGCGTTTGGCCGGTCGCTGCCCGCAGCTGCCCATGTGTGCTCAGGGTTGGTTGTGAGCGGAATCCATGGAGAGACCTCTACACTTAGCACAGACTCTTTGCGGGGGTTGGGGGGGGGGGTTGGAGGGTACCAGGTCGGAACTGTACATAACTCAGAGGCCTGCTCAGTGCATGGAGTAGCCCAATGGATTTCAGGGTAGTAGAGTGAGAGAAGTGTGTTGATATGATTTTGGATTCTACATTTAAGAAACTGCCAAATGTTAATTCTTTGGGTAGCATCAAAGAATAGCCACAATTATCTGAAAAGGCTATTAACATTCTCCTCCTTTTTCCAACTTCATTTATGTGAGAAGCCAATTTTTTTTTAAGTGTAATTCAGCCCAAACATATATGGCAAGAGATTGAACACAGAAGCAGCTATGAGAATCCAGCTGTCTTCCATTAAGCTGGACATTAAAGAGATTTGCAGGGTCCAGTGCAGTAGCCTAGTGGCTAAAGTCCTAACCTTATATGTGCTAGGATCCCATATGACCACCAGTTTTAATCCCAGCAGCCCCACTTCCCATCCAGCTCCCTGCTTGTGGCCTGGGAAAGCAGTCAAGGATAGCCCAAAGCCTTGGGACCCTGCACCCACTTGGGAGACCCCGAAGAAGCTCCTGGCTTTGGCTCAGCTCAGCTTCAGCCGTTGCAGCCACTTGGGGAGTGAACCATTGGACAGAAGATCTTTCTGTCTCTCCTCCTCCCTGTATATCTGACTTTCCAATAAAAATAAACTCTTTAAAAAAACAGAAATTTGCCAAGTGTCAAACAACGTTCTTGCTAATCTGTTTTTGGAACATGATTTTAAATATAAATGCATGTCAATGTGTGATGTTCTGTTATTATTTTAAGTGAACTCATAAATAGATTTTCATTTTATTATTTGTTTTAAAGGTTTATTTTTTTTAATTAGAAAGTCAGATATACAGAGAAAAGATACAGAGAGGAAGATGTTCTGTCCGATTGTTCACTCCCCTACCAGCCTCAATGGCTGGAGCTGTGCCAATCCCAAGCAGGAGCCTCTTCTGGGTCTCCCACACAGGTGCAGGGTCCCAAAGTCTTGGGCCGTCCTCGACTGCTTTCCCAGGTCACAAGCAGGGAGCTGGATGAGAAGTGGAGCTGCCGGGATTAGAACTGGCGCCCATATGGGATCCTGGCATGTTCAAGGCAAGGACCCTTAACTGCTATGCTATCGCACTGGGCCCATTTCTTCATTTTAAAAATTGCAAATATGGCTAATAATTGTAGGTGTACACCTAAAAAAGAAAGAAAGCAAGCTCTTTAGAATTCCCACTCAGGTTTTTTTTTTTAAAGATTTATTTTTTTTTATTGGAAAGGCAGATATACAGAGAGGAGAGACAGAGAGGAAGATCTTCCGTCCGATGATTCACTCCCCAAGTGAGCGCAATGGCCGATGCTCTGCCGATCCGAAGCCAGGAGCCTCTTCCGGGTCTCCCACGCAGGTGCAGGGTCCCCTCCTGGGAGGAGGTCTTGCCTGCTTCCCAGGAGAGGGAACTCAAACCCTTGTGAGTATTGCCCGGTCTCCAGCGATCTCCTGCCTTTCTTCACGGCCCCTGCAAGGACTCTGTGTTCGCTGCTGTGGGTGCTAAGCAGAAGCCCAGGGTGAATGGTCTTTGTCAGTAACAAAACTATTATTGCTGCAGTTCTCAAGCAGCACGCTCTTTGTCCTCTACTGTTTTCTGAAAGTGGAAACCAAAACTCACCCTCTGGACACCCCATCTTCAGCACCTGTTTAATATCCAGCCCTCTGGCTTTATCACTGCTAAGTCAACATCTGTCCCCAAGGCTCCCAGCTGGGTAGGACTGCTGTGCTGAGCAACCAGCCTGTGCTCTGATCAGGACTGCCAGGCACCCTGATGGCATTGAGTACTGGCTCTCAGCATTGTAAGTGATCTGATGTGGCTCAGGGGTCAAAAGCTCAAGCCAGGCTTGTCTTGGGCACTGGAGATGGTCCAGATCTGGATGGGCCTGTGTCAGGGAGAAGGGCAAGTAGAATAGGCATCCCTGGCATTCTCTGGGCAGGCCTGTGGGTGGCAGGAAGACTGAGGGATGTTCTTTTCTTCCTGGGTTCCTGGCACACCCAGTAGGCAGCTCTGGCTAGAAGCATGTCAGAGAGACAGTGACATGCTTTGGATAAAAATGTGAACTCTGGAGCCAGAACTGGATTGTAATCTCAATAGTGTCTCTTGACAACCTCATATGAGTTCTTTAGCCTCTTCATACTTCAGTTTTCTACCTATGAAGTGGGAATATTAATAACAGTAATTCCTGATAGAATTGTTGAGAAGGCTAAGAATTACTTTGAGTTAGGTACACAGTAAGATCATCTATATAGTTATCAGTGGTTGCTAGAGACCATCCCCAAATTCTGGAGCTCTTCTCCTTGCTTTCAAGCTTCTCCTGGGTCCGCATGTGCTCTTGCTGTCTCACTCCGCCCATTCTCGCTGCCCCAATGGGCTCTCCGCAGCTGCCCCCAGGCTGTTGTTCCCCCACTCCAACTGCAGGCCTGCTAGCCTCTGCCTTCAGTCTAAGACCCTCAGTGGCTTCCACTGGTCCTGGGAAAAGGGGCAGACCTCCTCACTGCTCAGCACCTGCAGCCTCCCCCTTCACTGGTCGTCATCTGTTTGTTTCCTCCAGTCTTGGCTTCCAACTGGATTGAGAGTGGCCTGGGATGATCTG